CCCCAGCTCTCCCCCTATTTCAACTTATGCCTCTGAATAGCCGGTGCTGTGAATAGCATTGCTCACTACTGCTTCAGAAAGCAGAAACCACACTATATAGCTGGGCATCCTCCTTCTATTCTAGGCTACTTATATTCAAGTAATCCCCCTCTTCCAACTTGCTCTTGAAGAAGGCAGCAAACTTGTAGTTCTAAAGGCAGTTGAGCAAACAGCACTTCCACTCTTGCTTTTAAAACCAGCTGAAAGAAAAGAAGCATCCAGGCAATTTGTATTTTCCACAGCAAATCTCTAGCCACACGGTGTACTAGAGTCTTATTACTCCAACCTTTAATGAACACTTAGGCCTTTCTGCAATTAGGAAAGTCTTAGGTTAATGCTAACCCATTTCACACTAGAAGAATCACACTTCACAATCAGATACTTAGATAGAAAAGAGAACCTAAAAACACCTCAGACTAATGAATGCTATTAATCTCCAGCAGCCAAGATTCCAGTGGTACAGATACCACATTCCTCTGTCTGACCATGGTCTCATGTACTACTCTGAGTAATGTTAATTACCTTAGCTGATGTGCTTGTCAAAATAATTTTTAAGAAAAAACAAAAATCCTTCCAGCAACTCCACATGCATCATCCAGTAGGATCACAAGACATCAGTACTCTAAAAAAAGTCTCATCTAATATTAGAAATGCAGTATCATGGTTAAGCCAGTTTGTCTCTATGAAGTAAGCACTTCTTGGGGAAGGAAAAACTGAAACAGCTTATAGAATAGAATCATTTAGATTGGAAAAGACCCTTAAGATCATCAAGTCCAACCCTAAATCTAACACTGCCAAATCCACCACTAAACCATGTCCCTAAGCACCACATCTACACGTCTTTTAAATACCTCCAGGGATGGTGACTCAACCACTTCCCTAGGCAGCCTGTTCCAGTGCTTGACAACGCTTTCAGTGAAGAAATTTTTCCTAATATCCAATCTAAACCTCCCCTGGTGCAACTTGAGGCCATTTCCTCTTGTCCTATCACTTGTTACTTGGGAAAAGACCAATATCTATGGCCATCTCTAAAAACCTTTTCTGACAAAAGTATACTCAGCTTGGTTGAACCTGGTGGTAAAAGTTGCCCAATCTATCAGGTGTCACATTAGGTAGAGCTTCAGTTAGGCTTCAACTTATCTCCATTCCATCATGCTGAGTAAGAAGGTAGCACGTTGTCTCTACATATTTGGGATTTCCTCAGGCTTTTACTGCTGGTCTGATTAGTCCTACAAATATCAGTGCGACACCACACTACCACCACTTGTTACACCTAATGTATTATTTAAACAACTTAACAGTTGTTTCTCTGACAGACAAATACCTAGGTTGCGACCATTCAGTTCAATGAACAACCCCCACTTTACTGGCTTGGAAGCATGCTGTTCCTTCCATGATTTGAAATTACAGATTTGCTCAGCAGCAAAGCAGACAAAAGACTCGCACATTCTTAAGGTGATGTTTTGCAAGGCACTACAAAGTTGTTAATGCAGAGACTGCTGAAAAGAGCTTGTGGGTCTCCAAAGTACAGGGAGTTCATTCACTCAAAACACTAAAAAGCAGCTGCTCCCTTTAAATTATCCTAAAGCAAGTTACTTATTTAACCATAGTGTGATTAAAGTAGAAATCTGATGTGATTAAAGTAGAAATCTGATTTAGAAACAAAAACACAGCAAAAAGAAGCTGCTCTTTTTGTAATCTCTTGTTTCATTCTGAAGGGTTGACACCATAACTTATAATGGAACACACAATTGGAAAACCATGTGCTTCTTGGTGAGGGTAGTGGAAAGAAATAGCCTGTGAATACTACAACTCTGTAGTGCCTGGAAATTTGTAGCAGACTATTTCATTTTAATATTTCATAAGAAGGTTATGTATGCTCTAGAGAGTTAGACTATTATATATTATTCTCATAAACTATCAGAAATTATCCTCAAGATTCTGCATACATTGCTTCCCCCCCAAAAAAATCTCAAGACACTTCAAAGATTAAGTTTCACAACACTTTTAAGAGAAAACAAATATTTTCCTTTCAGCATTGTGCCAGTTAAAAGTTGATTCATTCAAGGTCACAAAAATCTGAGACAGATATGAAAAAGGAATACACATCTCATTTCTTAATCTTAGTTCTTTCTTCCTTTTAAGATCATCTTTGTTTAAAAATACCTTCCTAAAAGTGATATAGGATTTAAGCTATGCTATGAAAACAGATTAGTTCAGTTCTGCACTAGAATCTTTCAATTTTTATTTTTCTCATATAACTGATGTATTATAAGAATAGAACAAAGTGATTAGAAATTGGAAATGGAAAAAACCAAGTAGACAAATGTTCATGAAATAGCTAGTAGTTACCAATATTTTCAGGATTGCACATACTTTTTACTATGTTGACATTTTGGGGGAATCAAAGGGTTAACCTCCACTGTCTCCTCGTTTAATCTCCCCTAACACACACAAAAAATCTAGAGGGCATAAAAGGTATCTTAGGGAAACAGGCAGAAAACCATTCTCCAGGAGGGAATAAAAAGAAGATATATCAGCTCCAGGTTACACAGGTATCTGTACATTCTGAACTCTAAAATATTCACCTCATATGTATGCTGCTTCTGCTTTAAGCTTCCACTCAAATTGCTGAAGAAAAATCCCTAGCAGTGTCAGACGCCTCTAGGAAAGCTAAGCAAGCCTGGTCAATAGACAAAGATACTTTAACCAGGAAACCATCTCAAAGAAGAAAACTGTGGGATGGATCATCCTTCAATTGAAGAGGAGGGTTTGATGCCTCAAGTGCTCCTAACACAAGCAAGAGGTCAAAGACACAGCTTTCTAAAGTGGTTACAGCACATCAGATAGAGTATTGTAGAACTGATTCAATTCAGACTGTTCCTTGGAAGCTATAAATTTTTATATTGTAACACACACAACTAATCCCCCAAAACTCCAACAGAATTAAATGCCAAGTGGGCAATTCTGGAACAAAAGAAAAAAAGAAAAAGCCCACACTTTACACCACATATAGAATAGATGCAGCAGCACATCAGAAAATACTGTATTAATGCATATTAGCCCTGACCTGGAAAAAGTTACCTTTGAGGCCAGACGAGGAATGAGTTCACATCTATTCAGCTTCTTGTCACTGAGACTATCAAGAAAATGCTACCAATTAACATCAAGTAACATACCATCTGTACTGTGAGCAAAATCAATCTGTTTAAAATAACAAAGAACTATCATATACTGTATGTAAACACTATCCATGCCTTAATTATTTGTAGAAGCAGAAAGCTTAGAAGCTTTATCAATCCCCATACTTGTTGGTTGGGAATCTTCCTAGATAAAAGTAAACTGAAATTCCACATCAATTATTTCTTTAACATCAAGCTTTTAAGAATGGAAAACTGTATTCATACAGCTGAAAACTATTCAATGGCACACATAATTAGTGTGTATCAAGTGATGATTGTGAGAAGTAAGTTTTGAAGGATCTAATAATACATGTGCTGCTAAAAAGTGGCTGCTGCTCACAGCAAAATATGCACCAGTTTTTCCCACCAAGTACACCACGTGTAATACTGGATCTTCACAAAACAGTCGGCAATTTAATAAGAGGTTTTACATTCTGTTATGATGAAAAGGTTAACACTTTTTCATATCCCGTATCAGTTTCAGAAAGCTAAATGAGTATGCCCTGAAAAAAGTTATAAAGAAAAAGGGTAATTGGCAAAATGGCTGTCTTACTAAAAGCAAGGTTTTGTTGACCAAAACTACCATTTCTCTTCTGATTTCTTGAAGAAGTAGATGCTTCAAACCATTTACACAAAAAGGCTTGAAAACAGTTCCCACATCCTAGAATCCATCAGTGCTTTAGCTGCAAGCATTCTCCACTTCCTTCTGAGCTATATTTAATGCCTTCAAGTTTATTTTCCTAGTTAATTATTATAGAGACATTCCCCCAACCGTTCTGAGGCTGCAACACTTCACATGAGCACAAAAATAGAAGGAAGTGCTATGTTACTCACGCTCAAGGGCTTTGTAGGCTCTAGGTACTTTAACAGTGTCCAGGTTTGAGCTGCTTAAAGTTATTTCTACTCCAAAATAGGATTTTAACTGCTGATATGTCTTAGGCAACTTACAGTATTTCTGGAATACACAGTAAAGCATCATAGAACCAAACAGAATACGGAAAACCAGTCATCAGTTGATAGCTTCTCCATCGGCATATTGAGTATATGAGTTTTATTTCCTTTTTTTTCCAAACCCCCCCCCCCCTCCCCTTTTAGAGGGGAAACGCAAAGGGAAGTGTAGGGAGGATAAGCGAAGAATTGGGCATTAACAAGACAGAGTAGCTTAGCAAAACCATTTCGACCAGGAGCATTTTGAAAGAAAGCCTTTCCAGAAAGGGGAGTTTACCAGAAAGGGAATGGAATTAAGAACAAAGAAAAACCCTGTTATCTTGAGTGTTCCCCAGTGCTTTTTGAGATCACACTTGATTCACTTTTCACTTCAGCTGAGTTCCTCCAGAGCAAGTTAACAAGTATAACCAACCCTGGAGAAAACAGTATACTTTCACTCTCAATCGTCTCAATTGCTTTTCCGGGACTAAGCATCATTTTCATAGAAGCTGAGAGCCCACAGTCCCTGCTAATTTCCATGAGAATTTTGGTTTCACAGCTCAACCTCTCTCCTATTATCACACTGAATCTTAATGAGGCATAAATACTCAGGTAAACTGAATTACATTGAGATGATGTTGGTTGAGGAGAACTATACTTTGCTCTAAAGATTTTCAACACTTACGGAGGACGTCTTTAAAGAACCAAAGCAGCATATATTTGAATTGCTTGTAAAGATAATAATAAATATTCACATTTTATGTTCCTGTGTTCACAGATTAAATGAACAAAAAGTGGGTTTTAATCAGGGAACACTCTGATCATCTCACTTCAGAGAAAAAGCTTCCTTAAAAAAATGCATAAAATTAATGTAGTATAAACCAGATGGCTTTAAAATTTAAAAGCTACTCCTTCAGGAAATTACTTTAGAAGAACTCTTTACTAACCTCAGCTACTCTTTCCAAAAGCGGTTCCAGCCAGTGTTCATTGCATTCACAGTGACTATCCAGGAAGGTCAGTACTTTTGCTTGTGCTGCATCTGCCCCTCTGACACGGGAGCGCATCAGGCCTGAGAAGTAAAGGTAAAAAGTTTAAAGTACTTACTGAGGAAAACAATCAACAGTAGTGAGAAACTACTGCATTCCAAGTAAGTTGTGAATTAAATCACTCTAACTCAGACAGGACAAACACACAAGTTCCATTATCAAAATGAGATGCTAGTTAACAATTCAGTGAAATGACTTCATAACAAACAGCCCACAAGCTTCCAACCTACTGCACCCTGGTCTACAGGTTTCAATCTGATTTAGATAGAAAAATTAAAGTACTTTTTCAAAAAAAGTGATACACAAGTACAGCTGGGTCTGCATTACAGTAAATAGTATTTATACTGATAAATGTTACTCAAGATAGGTCCTGAAAACAAACACCTTTCCAATAGTTCTATGATAGAACTGAGGAAAGCACCATCATTAACTTATCCTCCCAACCTTTTTGCCATACCCCCATCTTAGTTCCCACCACAGTCTGTCCATTCTTCTATCAACTTCTTCCAGAAATAACCGTACTTCATTAATTCATGTCTGAGAGCCTTCCTCCCACCCCCTTCAACTGTCTTTTCCCGGTGTTTCTTGCAATTCTCTTGTTTGTTTGGGTTTGGGTTTTTTTTAATCTTATCTTGAAAAGATTTCTTTAGGAAGAAACTTCTGGTAATGCCAAAAGGTTCTTCTCTTCTCTACACCTCAGTTACAGACTCCCTCACTGATTTATCCTGTTCCTTTCCTTCCTTCCTTCCCTTTTAATATTTGTTCATTGGATGACCTCACCATTCCTTAACGTCCCTTGCTATATATACACACATACCCCAGAACATCCCATCATGTACTTCAATACAGAAAAATAGCAATCTTCCTCTCATTCCTCTGCAAATTTCCTCCCTACTTTTCTCTATTACTATTCAAAAATTATTGATTTCATTGTCACTCAAGACCAAAGCCAATTACTTTTTTCTTTTTCTTTCTACATTTTTCCCCACTAAATCTGTTCTACTTTTCCTCCCCATCCCCAACTGAAACATTGTAAAAGAGTCAACCCCATTTCTTTCCATCCCCTTTACAAAATAAACCTGCAAAATATGACTCTGCCAAACATAATACAAGATGCTTAAGAGGAAAAGCTTGTTTGCTCTGTCCAACATTCAGCAACATTCATCAAGATCCTTGTACTGTCTCTTACCGCAAACGTGAGCACTTCACTGTTGTAGATACGCGCTGTGCTGATGCTCTCCAAAAGTACTTTCTACACCTTATCTGTTGCACGTGGGCAGCTAACTGTACCTCATTGCTTTTTATGCTGTCTCCCTAATTCCAGCCTTTGAACCTGTTCTGTTCAGTTTTTCCACATCAAACCGTTCCTCAAGCACTCTATGTTTCCTTTACTTTTGCAATTCCTCCTTCCAGAGCTTATTATTTCTAACTTACACTCTTATAGAACCTACTGTCTTGCCCTACTTCCATAGAAAACACACAACAGTGTTTCTAATTTCAGATTTAGGGACAAAAAAATGGAGATGGCCACTTGGGTCTCTGAGTCCTCTACAATCACATTCAGCCTTACAACAAAAAGTTGAGAAGGTTCCTCTGAACATTTATTCTATAGACTACCATGCCCTCCAAAACACATCTGTTCCCATACTCCAGTCTTACAGATGAGACTAAAAGCTACTATCACATATTTCTGAAAGCAAGGAGTCAATGTCATCCCCTCCACAGACACCATCCCTTTATTTTAATTTTTGTTTTAAAACACAGTGCTTTTCTCTGTTGTTCATACTAACGTGTTACTCTTAGCATCCTACACACTGGTTGATTTTACTGATTCTCTTAAATTTTAATTTGTATGTGTCTGACGTATCAGTATCAGCCTACACTTGAAAATGAAAAGCAAAGTGAGTATCAGACTCAAGCATAGCAAGCCAGCAATCAAATGAAATCTTACAGTACTTTAATTTAAAAAATTATCAGGTGGTTGCATATATGGATGCCTAGGCAAAACTTTATGAACAGTACAGTAAATCCCATGGGTAATAATTTAATCTTAATCTCACAAAAATACCAAGTAACTAATACTGTGCCTTTAGTCTGCAAATAGTTGTTCTTTTCTGACATAGTAAAAGATTTATCAAATAGTATTTCATTTTCAGATATACTGACGCATATTTTTAAGTACGAATCTGTATATGCAATACAAAGTTAATATCTATAATTACTAAATAATAAAAATCAAAAAAGCGTTACTTCATTCTGTTTTTTTCCCCACTACTATCATCTCCATCTTTAAGTGCTGTACTGATCAGAAAAGTGACATTAACTTACTCAGAACCCTGCAACCATGGCAAGTCATAGAAAGCCTGCTTTCCTAACAAGCCTTTGTTCACAAGTGTATTCCAAACAAAACATTTGAACACTAAGAACCCACCAGTTTGCAGCAACGTTAATTATGGGACATACAGGTTTTGTGTGTGTAATTTCCAGTTTCTGACAATCTAATGATTCTAGTTGCTCCCCGGGCCAGGCTGGCAGCCTAAAAGATACAGTGCTTACAAAAATAAACAAGCACATATCTGCTAACTCAGTCAGCCATGTCAACTGTCAACTCTCAGTTATTATTTCAAACAGCTGTAGAATAACAGTTGCCTGTATCTAATACGTTAAGCTCCATAGCCAGGAAGCTGCTGACTGAAGGGCTTAGTGATATGAGACCATAATTTACAAAGCAACAAAGAAGAAAACAAAAATGTAAGACAAGTTTGTTATATGGCGCACTGGCTTCAGCACAACTGGCATATGTGGTCCCAGCCCTCCTGGCTGCTCAAACCCTCTCAAGTCTGCCAAACAAACTGTTTGCCAGGCTGTCCATCAACTGGATCCTTAAAATGATCTCTAGTAAGGGAACCAGCAAAAAAGAGGGCTATTTTTAAGCTGGATCATTTCAAACATTCATACAGATTACAGTGAGACCTTACATACAATGGGAGGAGCTTAACTGAGGATTCAGTACAGTAAGAGAAAGGAGAGGTTGAGGGTAAAAGACAATTTCTCAAGTCAGCTTTCACTGTGAAAGCCAACAATTGCGCACACAACAATACAGAATTGATCAGAACTACTGTTTTTACTTGCACAAATGCATTTGCTTTTATTCTTTCCACTAGTAAGTTGATTTATAAAGTGAAAATCCTCCCTTCAATACAGAATGTAATAGCAGAATCTTCCTTTAAAAGACTTAATGAAGATTAACAGATAAGGCAACACAGTGGAATTTGTATCTTCCTTCCCACAGATTAAGCCTACCTTCTCGGCGATCATTTCGAAGAACCCGCACTTTTTCAATTTTTCCCAAGAGAGCACCATCCTCAGCTTTAAAAAATAAAATTTAAAAAAAAAAAAAAAAATCAAGTGATGAGAACCAATTTAACATCCAATACCGTATACCATAAGAGTGGCTGTCTTAAAAGAAAAACAAAAGCTTTGTAGTGGAAAGTGTTTATTGTCATAAACAGTTAAATATAAGATATATGCTTAAAAAAAATGCCTACTTGTCTCACCAGAAATAAAGAAAAGTTACCAGGTTAAGAAATTACTACCCTCATTATGTTATTTAAAGCTAATTTAATTTTACACTCTTGAAATATTTTTATTTAATGATATTCTCTATGCTTATTTTAGAGTTTCTACATTGCATAAGAAAAAACTTTTATAGGATTAAACTATTTTCTAGGATTAACTGTTTTCTTTGCATATAAGAAAGCTCACTTCTTAGCCAACATTAAAGCTTAAACCTATCCTAAACTAGCTATAAACTAGCAATGCAAGTGTAGACATTAACTTCCTTTAAGAAATGTTACTCAGAAGTCCATTTCAATTGTTCAAGTTTGTACTGTGATATCCTAGTACTTACAAAACCTTGACTTATTTTAGATTCAGTAAGAATTTTTCCAAGAGGTTGATGGAGACCAGCATTCATTTAAAGCAGTGCTACAGAAATATTTGGTGCAAGCATCATGTTTTGTTTTTTTTGTTGTTGTTGTTTTTTTTTTTTTTTTTTTAAATAACAGATAACATGCTATGTAAAGGCTGTTTTCAACTACACACTCTGCTCCTTCAGCTAACAGGAAGTAATAAAATAGACCTGAACTATTTATCAGAACTCTTCACATTTCCACAATAACAGATACAAAAGAATTAAGAGCTGGTTTTGGATTAGTCCCTGCAAACTCCTATTCATGTGACCTATTCTCAAGCGAGTCACCTACTAGCATCTACAGAAAGTCTTACTAGAATAAACGAAATAAAGTTAGGACCCTGTAAAAGTACTTACAATCGTTACTGTAGTCATCCACCAGTATGATTTCCTTAATAAGATGTGATGGGCTTTTTTTAAGGACACTGAAATAGACAAAAAAAAAGCATTCAATGCTAAGCAGTCTTAATTTTCCATAATAATGTCATAAAAGCAGTTACTTTGTTAAGCCACAGTAGCATCCTGGGCTGGGTTCTATCTTCAACAACAGCTACTGGCTTATTCTTACAGAAAGTCTTTGTGAAGAGAGGCACACGTAGAATCATTCCCCCCCAAAATTCGAGCCTCTAGAAATCAGTGCATTAGACAACTTGTAACATGGAAGTTTTGCAGATATCTTTAGGTCAAATATCCCCTGAGAATCCACCTTCCCTGATTTTTTTCTTGAAACTAGTTACACAGCCAACCTCCACACATCATCTGGTAATTGGTTCCACACTTCCATGCATTTGTAGTTAAGGGGAACAATTTTGTTTAACATCACTATTTCAGAATGTAAGAACTGAAGGCATCAATAAAATTAAGACTTATCTTTCCCTCTGCAAATGCTTCATTTCAGAAAAGCATAATGGATTCTTACTTCCCTTCCTCATCATAAGCCATTATCTGACACAAATGAATGGCCTTTAGGGAAAAATCAAGGTCTCTCTTAGGTATACCTGACAACAGTTCGAAGCAAAGCAGATCTTGCCTCATTATGAAAGGTGATCACCACACTAGTGGCTGGGAAATCTACCCCCCATTGTTTCCGTTGACACCTGAAAGACATAATACCCTGTCATTTGAACATAATATTTACATCCCAGGCTTAGCAGACAGCCTTCATTGTGAAGCAGTTATTTATTAAACTCATGTACACACTACATCCACCTAGGAAGAATGAAATATCTTGTTTTCGGATGAGATTATAATCAACTCCTCTTCTGCCACTTTTGGTAGTTGTCTTAGTACACAACAGACTAAGAAGTCAGTGTCAGATATAGGCAGGTTCAGAAAAGTCACTGGACTATCATCACTGCAGTATGTCATAAATACCTTTCAAGCAACTGAGTATGAAACCAAAGCACGTATTTTACTTTAAAAGCATTCAATAAATCTAAGCAAATAAGCATACTTTCAATGAAAATGCACGGGTTCACAGGCTACCGTATGTCTCTTCTTCGGAATGGCACATGTCCACTTCTCCCTTTATTTTTAAACCTACTGTAGCATTCTGGTCTTGCTTATAGATACAACTTCTCATTAGAACAGAAAACTGTTTTTAAGGATTGTAACATGCAGAATTTGAAAAACAAAGCTGAAGAACAAAGCTAGCTGTGACAATGTTGAGCCAACTAAACACAGAACCACATCTTTAAAAAGATGACCATTTACAGACTGATGGGCACTTATATCTGCTCCATGGCGAAGTCTAAGTAATAATCACAGCACAGACACGGCCTTTCCCCAGAAACTTCTCTCCCTCTCCCCCGCCATTGCAGGGTTCTTTTACAGCTCCATTTAGTGAAGAAACCCAGGCAAGTTAGCATATAATCACAACACTGACAGTTAAACATAGCCATTGCAATATAATTTGTCTCCTGTCATCTCTCTCATTTATGTTCTTCTCAAAGGAGAGCATTTGCCTGTTAGACCCCCCTCAGAGGTTATTAAATATCTAGAAAAATTCCAAATTCAGCATATCTGAATCACAGAAGCTTCTAAAAGCTTTGCTCTTGTGGGAAAAGAATACCTGGTCTAAAAAGTTAGAATGCATTTCTTGTAAAAAAGAAGAATGTGATGAAGAAAATTCAAAAGTCATTTTAAGCTCCTCAGTATACCATGGGCATCGTGCTTTTCACTGTTTTCATGGCAACAAGTGAAACACCAGACTCTTCCTACTTTCATCAATTAATGGCAAATTATACAAGACTTGCTTTACTCTATCTACAAATCATCTGCTTAAAGGAAGCTAAAACCATGCTATTATATAAGGGATTTAAAAATGACACAGTAAGTATCTGAGTTTCTATACAAATCTCCTTTGCCATGCCATTCCTGATTAAAGAGCTTTACAGAGAAAAAAACAGGCACCTTCCTTTTCTCTCTCCCTCTGGTGTCTCCTTCAGCTTCTTCTATCCACAAAGCTGTCAACGTACGTTCATCCTCACTGCAGAATTAGTTAGGCAAAGTAACTATACACAGTTGGCTAATTTCATGCTTTGAGACTATGCTTTCCTAGTTTTTAAAGCCAAGTTCAATCTGTTTTTGTTATTTTTCTTTAAAAGCTGGAGAGCTCCTGCTTTAGAAAAATCACCTGCTGCTCAAAAGCCATAAATACAAAAGAGTTAATTCAACCCAAACATGGCTCAGTTTGGCACTTACTGATCATGCCTAGTGTCAGGAATGCTTCGGTCCATTCGCAGTTTGTCACTTTCTACCTGATTAAACTTATTGCGGGCATATGGATCCTGACCAGATCGCACCATGGTAGCGCCAACATAAGCATCTTGATCAAAGTCTTGCCACCGAACTTTTCCTACAATAGAAAAACAGGAAAATATCCAATTTAATCTTCACAATTTAAAGAACAGCATTCAGCAATCCAAACATAACTGATGAAATAGCTTGGTTTTTAATTTTGCAACAACGTAATTAAACTTCAACAGTATTGTTAACACTGTAACATCAGTCACTTTTGCATATTAAATTCCTCTAGAACGCCCCATGAATTAATATAAAATTGAACAATTTTACATATCTCAGTTTATACAAGTAATCACAAGCCCATGCTTCTTCTTGTCTGTTTTGTTAGTTGTTGGTGTTTTTTTTTTTTTTTATTTAACCCAACTACCACAACTTCCATTTAAAAAAAAAGAATAAACCTCCACATATCAACAGGCATTAATATGGCAGATGACCTGGCCATAAAGTTATCCAAGTAACACTTATTTTTTAAGACTTCAAAGACATTGTAATTTAATTTACTGTCTCATTACATAAGTAAAACCATAGTCAGTTATAATCAAACCGTTTGAGGAACAGACCTGTTAGAAGTACAAGGCAACATTATTCTCAAAAGACAGCATTTCATGGAGGCAGAGCACTAGATTGCTCTCCAATACAACATAACTGCAACCTCCTTTACAATCAGAATTGATTCACAGATTAATCCCTCTTTAACAAGGACTATGTTATTATGTGACTGGTCGTGGCACTAACACGGAAAGGTAGATTAGCATCCAGCCACCAGGAACAAAATTCAGGACTTTCACCATCTTCAAGTGTAAAACAACAGTATGATACTTACCAAATGTCTTAAAACTGTCAGTTCTTACCTCTGGCTGAACATTTACTTTTTTGCCTATTGACAGCCAAACCTACGCTACCTACAGCAAATTTAAACCATCTTTAGCTCAAAATCAGAGCTCAAGTTCTAATGCAATACAGATATTCTTTTTTTAACATGGATGTGTATGAGAATCTCCCGCAAGCATGTTGTGGTGAACACAGCATGCTGTTGGCATAAAAAAAAAAAGATACAAAGCAAAAGCTGTCTTTTAGGGTCACTGTTTATTACAGATGAGAGGAGTTAATATTCACGGTTCTCATAATTAAGTTTTTGAGGTACTTTTAATTAAGTTCAGTAACTAGCAGGTTGCAGAGATGTCATTCCATTCAAGCTCAGCTTTTAGACAAATAATATAGCTCAGGCATATCCTAAACTAAGCTGACAAGCATAGAGGGAATACTACTCTAACAGCTATTAACAAGAGTCAGATTGCTCAGATGTTTGAAGGTTTGCCTTTGCTCGGTTTCTCAACCTGCACAGCATGGAAACTACACAGAAACTAAGGCAGGCCTCATTTACAGCTTTCTATCCACAAGCCGTGCCCCAACTATGGTGCGTTAGCTCCTGCTAGAAAATTCTGATATTGAAAGAACACTTTCCATCATTAACCAAAATAATTGTCTGTTATTTAACCTGAAAAATACCACCAACTTCATTAAAAATTCTCTATAATCTCCGGATCATCTACAAAAGCAACTTGGACCCAAGGTGTGATTTGGTTATCAGATGGTAGCGCAGGTTGTAAGGCAAAAATATCAAAGTTGGGAGGGAAGGTGGTTTTGGGTCGGTTGGTTTGGTTTTAAGAAACTTCCAACATCTGAGTAAAGTCACAGAGTAAGAGAAAAGTGCCCATACTTATAGATTACTGGTTTAAGAGCTAGCCTGTTAATACTAAGCAACTGTTTTTACATCTGAATTACCATCCTAAATAAGTTAAAACACACACACATACACACAGAAGCCAGAAGTAGGAAGTTAAACAAAAACTGCAGAACTGCAGAACATTTAATAGACACTTGGTGAAGCAGCCCAGAGGGGAAACTATAGGAAAATAACTGGAGGGAGATTTTCAAGTTCCAGTTACTGAAAGAACTCTAAAAAGGAAGCTTTCTTGCTGTTGTTGGTAGCCCACAGACTGCCAAGAGTTTTTCTTAGCCTTTCAAGTTCTTTCTTCAAAATATTTCCAGGAACTTACTCTGAAAACAAGTTTACACCTCAGCCAGCTACCACACTACAAATTACCCAATACAAAATTGTTTACAAAGATTACACCAAACCTCACTTGCAACAAAACTATACAAAGTGCAGAGTGGCTTGGTTCAGGAAACTGGAAGAAACAGCAGAGATCACAAGATCATCTCCCCATATAACTTTGTCCCTTAGCATTTCCCAATGCTTTTGCAACCTCCTTGGTAACTAAACTATATTATCAGCCTTGCTTCTAATTTATAATATAGCTTCAATCTGGAACATATGTTGAATATTTTCTGAAATACAGAACATGTCATGTCACTGCTTTTCCAGTCTAAAAATGAAGATTTTAGTGCATTTTACAAAATATAATCTACACTTAAAATGCATTTATATAGGACTTTCAACTTTCAAACACTCAAACTTCCAATGGATTTTAATGCTATGCTTGCTTCAGGACTGCCACCCCAACCACTCCTCTAGTCGCCTTCCATCCAGTGGAAAGAGTAGCTAAACCAAGATGTCATGAGGACATCACATCAGTGGTACGGATGATGCCATCGCAAGCATTCTTCTTAAACAGGTTGTGTTCTTTATGAAATACAACATGCAACATGGGCTGACCACAAGTGCTAACGGCCCAAGTTAACTGCTGGAAAATCAAAGGCTGATCCAAACTTAAGGGTCCTGCACTTGGGTCACAACAACCC